AACCAAGAGTTCAATAAAGGAATCGTTAAATTCATTTACTATTGCCTTTTGTCGTGTCTTCATATAGGCATGATTGTAATATTGTTTTGTATTTAATTCAACAGATTGAATTAAAAGTTTATCGTTTAAGTTTACAGATACCAAGCCAACAGTGTATAATTTCTTGTGCAATATTCACTCCAGAATGTTTAATGGTAAATGGAATTATATTAAGTAAAAAATTACAAAAATTTTAATTAGAATCAACATAGTGAATTGTAAGTTCTAAAAAAGCTTTCCTATTTATTGTAGAAGTCTAAATATCAGCTGTTAATGAGAATTTTCCTGCAATTTGATGAAGTTTTTTGGTAATATTATTCCTTTATATAGTAATAGATTTAATTATCAAGCCTATTTAAACAAAAAAAAGTTAAATAATATTATAATATAATAAAAATTATAAAATTAATCTTACATTTTACTTTATATTGATAAGAAATAATATAATGTGAATAAAAATTTAATAAAACTTCTAAAGAAGTATTATCAACAATAGTAAAAGGCTAAAGATCACGTATAAGCTATTGAATAAGATATTTATCATATTTATTTTGTTTTTGTTTATTATAAGGAGTTGTAATATTATTTTTTAATTTTTTGTATTTTTGTAAGTACTTGAAGTTGATATGTTTGAAGATATTTTCATAAAGAAGATACACTTTGATATTTGATATTTTTTTGAATATATTTTACAAACATCATAACCAAATGCATCAGCTGGATTCTTATTAAAATACAACCATACACTACTTCTTTTTAATAAATATTTATTTTGAATCTAAAGCCTAACTAGTCTCTGAAATATTACTAGCAGGATTAATTTCATCAAAGTTAATTACCCACTCATCTTCATTATCTTCAAGTTGGTTAGGATTGAATTCATCACTACTTAATGTCCTTTCAGAAGAGGTTTCTTCTTTTTGTTCTTCTATTTCAATAAAAATAAGCGTGAGAATTATTTAGATTTATTTTCAATAATTATCATTTTTAAAAAAAAATTGACGTTACAAAATTATTATTTTAGCAATTGCCATTACAAATTTACTATTTTAAAAATAGCCAATACAAATATTATTGTTACAAAAATTAGTGCTACAAAATTACTGCTACAACATTATCATTATTATTTAAAATTACTGTGTCACAAAAATTACAAGTCGTAAATTTATTTTTTTATTTTTATCTTATTTATTTTTATCTTAAAATAATCAAATTCTAATATTATAAATTTAAATAAAACTGATTGTTCTACTTTAACTCCTCAGTTTAACTCAAGAGTGGAACTAATGTTTAGTTCTAGAACTAACTCTGATTCACTTCATTTAAAACTTTTCCCATCTCTAATATTATATCAATAATTAATGGATATTCTTTTTTTCTTTTCTTATTGCTAGGGATCAAAAGGAATGACTTAGAGTCAGTTTTAAAACCTATTATAAATTCAACATATTCTGGGTTTTTCTGAGTTACTAACCAATTTTAAAAACTAAACTGGATCAGTTTTGAGAGTCAGTTCAAAAATCAAATTTAATAACAGTCAAAACTGATCAACACTAATTATTCTGAAAATTATCAATTCTGAAAATTTGACATTAATTAAATATAAGGTAAAACTACATTACAAATCGTATGATTTTAACTTAATTTTAATAATTTTAATAGCAAATCTTCAAACTTGATCATTTAATATTTTAAGAAATAATTAAATCATTATATTAGATAAAATTTTAACTAGTTAGAGTTCATATTTGTTTTTTTCTGATAGAAGAATTTAAAAATCTTTTCTAAGCTTATTATAAGGCAGTAATAGTAGTTTTTTTTTTGTAATCCTAATTAATTATTGTTTGTAAACCTACCCTATAAATCACATAGCCTCTTAGCAAGCTTTATGAATCAATCTAGAAAATTCTCTTCAAATTGGATCACAAGTTCATGCGTTAAATTATTGCTTATTCAATGATCTATAGTTTATTAATATCAAAAATAATACTATTTATTTATAAATAAATATACCATGTAACTTTTAATTATTTTTAGACGAATCTAAATACTAGCATAAATATTGTAAAATTGTTAAAATTATATTAATATTTATTACTACGAAAATTATATTGTTATCACAAGCTAAATATCTTACATTAAAATAAATTATACAATCTAATCCATAGATATGTAATTGTAAATGCTATAGACTATTTTAAGCATTTTAATAATCTTTAATTATTGATATCTATCATTTTATATAAATCAATATTAATCATTAATATTGATAAATCATATCATATTACCTCTTAATTATGATGAGCAGAAATTTCTAATTCATATAATTGAGAATCTTGAAATATTAAAATGCTTTAAATTTAAAATTATATTTAATTATTGAAAATAAAAAATACAAAGTACCTTCATTATTCTCATCCTTTTCAAGATATGAGGTGATAAGAAATGAATTAATAGACTTTGTCAAATTTTTAAATGAAAATGTTTTACTTATATATATATTGAAATACTTGGTATCTCTTTATCTGCATCTTCAAATGCTTCCTTTATTTCTTTTCCATAATATCCATATTTTTTATTATTTTTATATGTTTTATATTGTCTAATCAATTTATCCCAAAAATACATTATATTTAACAACTCATAGCTAGTTAGTCTTTGATCTGGATTTGCATTCATAAACCTATAAATCAATTACTTGTAAAATTCAGGATTCTTTTTCCAAATTCTTGACGAAGTCCATTACAAATATCCAAGACTAAAGATATGTCATATTTTCTATCATCAAAGGGAGGGTTTCTGGATGATAATTTAACTATAATTATACCAAAACTGTAAATATCAGAAGCTAAAATATAAAATACTCTATTTAAAACTTTAGGAGTGATATACGGTAATACACCATATGTTTTATCATCTGATTTTTGCTTATCTGCTGATCCTGATAATCCAAAATCTGAAAGGTAAAAATTTTTACTAACTTGCAAGATATTTCTATTATGAAAATCCTTATGACAATATTCTAACTTATGTAAATTATCAATCATTATATTAACTTAATTTACTAATTTTATCTTTCCATAACAAGATGTTAAAATAATTTGAAAGATAACTCCTCAAATTTCCATCAGATGCAAATTTCATGATCATAATAAAATCTTTAGTCTCTGGATCCTAATGTGCTTTAAACTAGGTTATAATAATATTGAACTAATATTGATTTACACTTACAGCTATTTGCAAAAATAACGGACCACTCAATTTCTTTTTGCTCTGAAGTGTCATACGTATTTATACGCATTCATACGCATAAGATTATTACTGTTCGATAATAATTTAGGCCAACTTATAATTTCAGCCAGAATTATAATTATTGATCAGCCAATTTATTATTTTATTATTCCGTTCCAAATTGGAAATTTTATTTATTATATTACCTTATTGATAATAAACAAATCTTTCATTTTCATTATAATATGATAAAATTATCTTTACATGTTTGCTGGAAAATAATTGAAAAGTCATTAGCAGGTTTGTTAGAATGTCAAATTGCTAAACATTTAGGAGTTAGCAAATCAACTATGCACTGTACTTATCATCATTTTAAAAAGTATGGATGCATCGAAAACTTTTTATTATTACATGAAAAACAAAGAATTTTTGGATACAATGATATAAAATATCTTGAAACACTACTTAAAGAAAAAGTAGATTGGTATATTTGAGAACTCCAATCAGAAATAGAACTTTGGTTAGAACAAAATATTGACCTTAGTGTAATATGGAGAGCAGTACATCATTTAGGATATACTAACAAACAAGTATTAAATATTTTAATATTTATAATTATATTTTATTATTTAGACTTTTTTTTGTAATA